GGAGAGGTCTGCCGCGCCATGTGGTCACCTCTGGGGCAGGCGGGAATCGAACTCATGCGGAAGTGGCTTTAGCTTCTCAGTGCTGTGCTTTAACCCGTTGTGCCACCAGGGAGGGAGGGCTCCATTTTCTCCCTTTTATGTGAAGTTTGTATTATTCTTTGCTAGCAAATTTCATCTGTAAGTATTTTGGAGACAATATTTATCTTTTTAAATTTTTCTTTCTATTCTCTTCTTAGCCTTAGGTTTTATTCAAGAAAGCCTGATTTAAACCTATAAGAATACCTTTATATGTTTCCTGATATTTTTCCTCCTAGTAACTTTCAATATCCTTTATTTTTCTTGATCTCTTGGTAGTTTCACAAAAATATGTCTTGATATAAGTCTGATTACACTTAGATAACCAGTTTTCTTTTAGCTTCATGTTCTTGTTTATGTAAATTCTTTTTCAGGTTTAGGAAGTTTTCCTCCGATCTTTCTTTAAATTCTCTGCTGCCTTTTCTCTTGTCCACTTTTGAGATACTCATTATCCTTATGTTGCCTTCTTATTAGAGTCAAATATTTCTCAAAAGTGTTTCTTCACTTCTTTTTTTTTTTTCATATCTCTCCTCCACCTGAGCCCCTTGTACATTATTGTCTTCATGGTGACTGATTTGATCCTCCATTTGGTGTAGGCTGCTATTCAGGTGTTTTTATATTAAAATTATATCATGTAGTTACTATTTTATAACAATTATAGCTTTTGTGAAAATTCTTAGTTGTGTACACCTCCTATTTGTCACAGAATCTTTATAACCCTGCCCCACCCATGAAATGTGCATAACACACCATATTTACTATAATAGCCAAAAATGCCTCTATATTTCCACATATCCCCAGAAGGTACATAATTCTCACTCAACTTGCTAATGCCATGATAAAAATACACTACTAGGTATAGTCCTTAAAATAATGCTCATTTTTATACATTTCTAATTTTAAAACTAGTTTCATTTAATTTGCTTGTTTTACCATTTTATTGATGTATAAAGTACATATTCCAATAATTAAGCTATAAAGAGTCAATTTTGAATTTTTACCTATATGTGCACCTAAATAATGACCATTTATGTTAAAATTTTTAACATTTCTAACCCCTCAGAAATCTCCTTCATGCCCCTTCCAATCAACCTCTTGTCACAGACAACCACTAATTTGACTTCTATCACCATAAATTAATTGTGCTTATTCTGTACCTCCCAGAATAGTAAGCATAGTATGTACTTGTTTGTGCACACATTTCTCTCAGTGTCGTGTTTTCTAAATTCATTCATATTGATGCATGTTTCATTTATTCATTACCTTTTACTATTAGTACCTCTTTTGCCACAGTTGTTTTATTCATTCATCAGTCAAAGGGTACTTGAGTCATTATTTCTTTCTATAATGAAAATGCTGCTATTCACATCTTTTGTCTTACACACTTCTATACTGGGTATATAAAATAGACAGGGATGGAATTTCTGAATCATAGGACAGGAATATATTTGCTTAAGTAGACAATAACAACCTGTTTTTTCAAAATAGTTACATAACCCTATATTCTCTCTCCAAAATCTTTTGCCATCAAAATGCACATAAAGAAATTGAAAAAGAAAGCCATATACTAGTAGAAAATATTCAACCAAGAACTAATATCCAAAATATAGAAAGAAAACTTATAAATCAATACCACAAAAAAGGAATAACCATCAATTTTATTACTAACCAATGGAGTGGAAATTAAAATCACAATAAGATATTCACACTAATAGTTAAAGTTTACAAGACTGGCAGTATTAAATATTTGTACATTATTTAACAAATTGGATTATAAGTAGACTTATATTCTTATCAGGTACTTTTATAGCACTTTTGTGAAATAGTATTATTTCTTCTATATCACATTTCAAGACATTTGAGTGTTTTATTTTCCCAAGTTATTTTTACCTAATTTATATGTAACAGTGAAGTATAATTGAGAAAATCTGACCAGAGAACCTTCTCTTTTTTACCTGAGCCTTTTGTTTGACACAAAGAAAGAAAGCTTTCAGGTCTCTATCACTTTGGAAAATTGTTCTGTCTTCTGCAAAATTAGCAAAAATGTGGTGTGAATATGGCAGTAAGCTCCCATACCAGACTAAAATTTTCTGAAATAGTGAGAATTCCAAATTTCTATTCATTTGCAAGATTACTATATGCAAAGGTGTCACAAGCACTCTCATTCACCTTTTCCAAGTGTGCCACATATAAAAAATACAACTTAAAACCTAACATAGTTGATCATCAACAGGGTCCTGTTACACATCATATTTGGTTTAATGGAGTAGAAAGGGCATCAGTCTGAGAGTCAGGTGAATGGGTTTGGACTTAGCTTTGCTACTTAGTAGTTCAGTGAGTATAACCTCGAACAAGGTATTTAATCTCTCAAGTTTTACTTTATTTATAAACCAATACTACCTATCTCAGAGTTATAAAGATTCAGTTAAAAATTAGATAAGATACTTGAGATAATTATCCAGAGAAAGCTATAAGCCAAGTTTATTCCTGGACTTCAATAGTAGGAAACAAGTGTTTTCACCTAAATAGTTATTGTTGTTTTTAATCTTTTCATTAAACATTGGAAAATAAATCTTGTTTTTCATTCTGCCTCCAGTTCCACTTGTCCTATACAGATAAGGAGCGTTATGAAAATGAAGAGAGACCTGAGGTCCAGAAGCAGATGCTCATTGATATGGCCAAGAAGCTACCAGTTTACACAAGAACTGGGAATGGAGGTCAGTTTATCCAACACCAGCTAGAAGGGCAGATCAGCAAGGATCTCAGAAAGAATAACCCATACATATTTTCAGGCTAGTCCATTTTTCCCCTCTTTTCTGAAGAACAATATGGAGTTTTTCTCAACATTTTAGTATTATTTTTTAAAACATACACACAGATTGAAGAATTTTATAGGAAATATCTATTATCCCCACCACTGGGTTTACCACTACAACTTTAGTCAGTTGCTTTATCACATATCTAACCACATATATCCCTCTCTTCATCATCCGTCATCCATAAAGCCATCGTGTTTTTTGACATATTTCAAAGTAAGTAGCAGACATCAGTACACATCCACCTAATTATTTTGCCATTCTTTGTGGACAAGATTTACATACAAAACACACAAATGGTTATGTATTTCATTCCTTTTTTGCTGAGTATTACTTCATTGTATGAATATATCAATTTAGTCATTCACCAGCTGAAGCACATTTGGGTTGTTTCCAGTTCTTAACCATTATGAGTGAATGCTCTATGATTATTTCTGTATAAGTATCAGTGCACAGGGATGTCTTTATATTCCTTGGGTAAATATCCACAATGGAGTTTTCCTCTTAGCTTTCATCTGCAAGATTTGAATAGTATTAGCTGTTTCTATCTTTCTTTTAAAATTTGAAAATCAAGGCTTATTTGACAGGTTATCCTAACATTTCTCATAAAAGAGATCCTATTTTGAGGCTTTTGGAAATTTTCTGTTAAACATTTAGAGTAATATGTTTATCATTAATTTATTCAACAAGATTTATTAAAATGCCGTGTGACAATTGGAATATTTTAATATGGCCTGGTTATTAGGTTATACTAAGTATTTATTGCTATTTTTCCTAGAGTTTTAATGTTATAGTGGCTAGGACTTTTCAAAACTCTTTCTACATGCTGAAATATGGTGAAAGGAGATGGGAATTACCTATATAATTCCAAACAGTTGTCATGAGCATGACATGAGAGCAGAGGTTAGAAACTAGAGAAATATGAGATGAATCAGTCTCAGAGATATTTTGTTTGATCTCTCAAGTGTACTTTAAAACTTGGGTTTTGTTATTAATTTTTAACAGTTTGGATATTAACACATGAAAATCTTATCTTGAAAACTCAAATATTCTGACAGTATTCTGTCTGCATTTCTACATTGCAAAATTTAGCTAGAGTTGAAAGGTAGCTGCTTTCCTGAAATAGGACAGGTGTTCTGAAGTCCCATCCCTGCAAGGGCCCATCCTCCTCATCATCAACTAGCTACTTCACTCACTATTCCCTGGACCCAAGAAGCATTTGTTGGCAGTCTTCATAAGATACAGTAATAGAGAAAGCATCTCTGAGGAAATATCAAATGATCTAAGACATACACACACACACACACGCACACACACACACATACACATACACACACCAGCTATACGAGCAAAAGACTAATATCCCAGGAAGAAGGAAGTAGAAATACAAAGGACCCTGTGAGACAGGAGGAAGCTTACAGTATTAGAAAATCAGATAGATAACCAGTGTACAAGGAGTGTAATGGGTAGAGAATGGTACAAATTAAGGTTGATGAGACAGGCAACAATAGATCATATTGTTCTGTAGGCAATGTATTGGGGTGGGGGGGTGGAAATGAAAGCAGTGCGAAAAATTAAGCAGCTATTATAGACATCTAAGTAAGACATGTTGGTGGCTTAAACTGGGCAGTGACCATGTCTTTTAAAACATGCTAGAAGACTCAGACAACTGTGTCCCTCTCTCTCTTTGCCTCAGTAATACACATATTTTGGTTACCTACCCCATTACTAGAAATGAACACAGACTAATGAATTAGCTGTTCATTATGTTGAATCAGTTATGTGTGCTTAATGTCCCCTTTGGATGGAAATATTGTATTAGGTCAAACTTCATAATTTCAGTTGCCATGCTTAGTAATAACCATATTAAGTACAGTCATCCTGTCAATACAGAGACAATTAGAAGGAAAGAAAAATGACTTTCATCTAAGGGAAATAAACAAAGCAAAAAAGGAGGGAGGGAGGGAGAGTGAACTTGTTTTTTATACCAGACTTCCCAAATGAGAAGAACCCTGAATTATAGTGTCAGAGAAACTGTGCTGCTCACAGAGCCCTCCTACTCCCATCTGTGTGTGATCTTGTGCCAAGTCACTATATGGCTCATGTCTTTTACCTCCTTGTGAAATGGTCCATTGAGCTAATTATTTTTAGAATATCTCTCCTATTCCACAAATTGTTAGTCTAAGAACTGCTCTCCTTACTATGCTTGGGAGTTTTATCTATCAAACACTCTGATCTCCAGGTACATGAGATACATGATGAATCTTTTTTTCTGATGTAGGCAAGTTGGAGTTAACAGAGGCAAAATAATTTTACCAAGGCCATTCAAGCATTTCACAGTACAATTTGCTTTGTTTTACATTACAATATGTTACCATCAGAGATTCAGATATGAAGGCTTTTCCTCTTACCTTCATCCCTCAAAAGCTGCTTTCAAGATTGATCCAACAGGAATAAAAAAAATATATAGTACAATTCCCTTAGTGATCTTTTTTCTTGGTAACTTGAAATGAGATCAGTTTCAGTACCTGGAATCTACGTATAACAATTCCATTCAGATAGGCTACTAAGATAGATGTTATATTAAACTCTCACTGGTGCTAACCATCTTATTTTCTCTATAGCTGTACGATTCTGTGACCGATGCCATTTGATCAAGCCAGATCGCTGCCACCACTGCTCTGTCTGTGCCATGTAAGTGACAGCCATATTTTCCCTGGGTTGAGTTTGACTCCATAATGATTGCCTAGACAACAAATTAACTGACATGTGACATGTAACATGTAACCTAATATGTAATCAGGCCTAGATAAGAGCATTTCCCTTTGATCAGAGTGAGCCAAAATATGCCAAAACCCTTACAGAGATGAATCAAACTATTCTAAAAGTAGGAAAGAAAATATTCTTAAAATAAACATTTTATTTTAGGAGAGTTTATAGAATTATTGTGAAAATAGTTATTACATGTTTCATACCCAATTGGAACATTCTACATAAATATATTACTTCTGTTACAATCTTACGAACTAATATTGATACATCTTTTCTTAAAGATTTATTCATACAGAACTGGGGTACAGGCCAGAGATGCAGAGGGTGAGAGGATTCACCAGGGACAGAATGGGGAGCAGAACAGGCAGATGGACGAAGTACACTGCTGAGGGGAGCAGCAGGCAGGTCAGGAGAGGTCTGCCATGCCATGTGGATCACCTCCGGGCCAGGCGGGGATCGAACTCATGCGGAAGTGGCTTAAGCTTCTTAGTGCTGTGCTTTAACCCGTTGCACCACCAGGGAGGGCCCTGATACATTATTTTTAACTGAACTTCTGTACTTTTCCCTCTGTTCTTTTCCTCTTTCATATCCCATTCAAGATACCACAGTACATTTAGCTGACAGGTCTGCTTAGATTCCTCTCAGTTATGAGTTTCTCAAACTGTGCTTATTGTTTTATATTCTTAGTTATTTTTAAAAAAGATTTATTTATTTATGCTTATAGAACTTGGGTACAGGCCAGAGGTTTGGTGGGTAAGAGGATTCACTAGAGACAGAGTGGGACGCAGAACAGGCAGAATGAGAAAGTACACTGCTGAGGGGAGCAGTGGGCGGGTCAGAAGAAGTCTGCCACATCATGTGGGTCAGCTCCCTGGCCGGGGATTGAACTTGTGCTGCAGTGGCTTCAGAGAGCTTCATAATGTGGTGCTTTAACCCATTGTGCCACCAAAGAGCCCTTTTAGTAGTTTTTAGGACTAATGATCAGGTAGAATGTCCCACAGTTGGGAGTTTTCTGATATTTTTCTCATTATTTTACTTGGATTATTAATCTGTTTGGGGGAGAAAGACCAGAGAGGTAAAATACCTTTCTCATCATATCAAGGGGTAAATTCTGCAAACATGACATATCACTGTGATTTTAAGTTTGATCACCGGGCTAAGGTAGTATTTGTTCGAATCTGTCCTGTAATGTTACTCTTCCCCACTCCCCACCCTCTCATGCTGCCCCCTTTGAAATGACATCAATCTGTAGAGCTCACATTCAAGGAATGAAGAGTTATAGATGCCCCCCGCCTCCTGAAGGCAGTTTGTGGAATTCTGTATGGGAGATTTGTTTTTTTTTTCCCTTATTTGTTTATATCAGTATGGAGGTGTTGGATATACCTCAATTTTGTTACTCAAATTGTTCCTGCTTTGTAAGTCCCATTTTTATGTTAATAAACATACTCTTCATGTTTCACACCCAATATATGGGTGTCTTCTCCTTGAGTGCTAATTACATCATATTTCTCTTTCCCTTCACTTGAACAGAGGCTATAACCATATGGTTTCCTCTATACTTTTATTAAAATGAATATTAAACAAAATGAATGGAGATATCTTGGACCTTTTTTTCCTATGTATCAATATCAAACTTCTAGGCCTCTAACTTGCAGCCAGCAAGTGCTGTGATTGGCTTAGTCTAGGAATAACTTGAGGACATACTAGTTTTGGTGTAGCTATTGTGGAAACCTACAGGAATAAGTACACTGGCACCATGTAAAAATACTGGTGAACTGTTGAGTTCACAAATAATAAGTTGCTTCTTCACTGATAACCCTGTATTTCATTCCTTTTGTAGGTGTGTGTTAAAAATGGACCATCACTGCCCTTGGTATGTCCCTTTCATTCATTTTTCTCCTCTAAAAGGTCAAAGTTGCTCAGCATTTTTCTCTTCCTAAGTATAGTTGTAACATGCCTGTTTGTGCTACCATAAATCACTAGATTTGACTTGGGGTTTAGGGGCAGAGGAAGCCCCTCAAGCAAGAATGAATATATTACCAAAGTTATTGCACTGAAATGTCAGGGTCACAAGCTATCAGTCTCCTGTCCATTAGCTTTAGTACTTGGGCGTAGTAATGAAATAGATTATAAATATATAGTTCTCTTTGACATTGAAACATTCAGTTATTTTTAGCCAGCTTGACATTTAAAATACTCAAAATTGTTAACAATTCTCCGTATTTTATATAGCTTCTCTAGAGAACATATCTGAAATCATATAACTACATAAAGAGTACATGTACAATACTAAATGTAATTGTTGAGATTGTAGTAGTTTTTATCGTTCAAAATCCAATTCTACTTGGGTGTGTCAGGAACCAGTCCAGAACTATTAGCTAAGCCAAGTGTCTCTGTTCAAAATGAAAGGAGGAACAAGTGAGACGTGAACTTGTTTTTCTAGTCTCTCATAGTAAGGGACTCCTATTACTGGTGAACAGCTATGTAACATAAAATGAAGCAGCAAGAATAGCAGGCATACATGCTCAGTTCACTTATGTATCATTGCGTTCTCAATCAAAGGGTCCTAATTTCAACTTTTCTTTTTTTCTTATAGGGTTAATAACTGCATTGGATTTTCCAACTACAAATTCTTTCTTCAATTCTTAGCTTACTCTGTTCTCTACTGCCTGTATATTGCCACAACTGTCTTCAGCTATTTCATCAAATACTGGAGAGTAAGTTTTAAAATGCTGCAGTGTCTCACCCAAAAAAAAAAACAAAAACACACACACATAACTACTCTTATCTGTGACATCTTTGACATTTTATTTTTTCTGTTTTGAAATAGCTAATACTGAAGTAATCAGCAGAGAAGAAACCAAAATCAAATTCCCATGTTAAATTTTCTAAGGTTTAGAAGGCTGTTGTTTAAAGATTTCACTTAAAAAAGCTGCTGTCATATATGAAAATCTTGTTAAGGTCTTCAAGAACTTAACCTCTTGAGTCTTCTTTGTAAAGTAATTCTCTAGTGAGTATATAAAACACACCAATTATAAATTTGAAAAATCATGAAACTAATTTTAAATATCTAACTTCCTAAGGGGGAAAAAAGTCTGAAGAAACACACCCTCATTGTTAGGAAATACTTTTTAATTTCCAGTTCAAGGGAGAGTTGTAATATTCCTACTAAACAGAAATATTGACTCATTTTCACATATGAACTGAAATAAATGAAATGCAATGGGGACGCTTATTTGAACTTTGTATGACATCCTTTACTGGCTTTGTTGCCAGCACCAAATGAAACAGATATTGATAGTACTTTTACCTTTCAAAATGTGATCTAAAAAATTACAATTAATTTTTTAAAATCCTATTTTCACTTCTACTTGAAGATACCAATAATATACCTTCTATTTCCAAACGATTTGAAGGCAGATTTTCAGCTTGTATATTTGCATAGGGTCTGGCTTTTTTTTTTTTTTCATACCCGTGGACTCCAGAACACAGCTATTCTCCACAACTCCAGTGCAATTAATAAAAAATAGTAACCTTTCCTGATATTGGTTGTCTAAACTGAAACTGAAAAGCAGAAGACAGTTGTGGGTAGAGCTACTAGTTATTACTTGAGGAATTGCACAAAAATCTGTGCTTGTAATGTCTCCCTTCAAGTCACAGTGTAAAGCAACAAAGAAATAGCATGAATCCTGGACCAGTATGTAGATTACAATACAATAAACTGGAGAAAAAGGAGAAAGCAAGGTAGTGAGAATCTGAGTATCTGAGAATATTTTAATAATTAATTAGTGCATTGATCCCTACTAGTGTAAAATGTATAGTGTAGAAAATTACAGTGATATTTGCTTTCCATTTTCCCTTTAACTTGCTCCAACAATTCAGATATTTAATAACATTAAGAATGAAGAAGTATAGGGCCTCCCTGGTGGGAGGGTTAAAGCACATCACTAAGAAGCTAAAGCCACTTAAGCATGAGTTCGATCCCCACCCCGGAGGTGACCCACATGGCAGGTAGACCTCTCCTGACCCGCCCACTGCTCCCCTCAGCAGTGCACTTCTTTGATCTGCCTGTTCTGCTCCCCACTCTGTCTCTGGTGAATTCTCTCACTGCCCCTGTGCTTCTGGCCTGTGCCCCAGTTCTGTATGCACAAAAAAATATAAGTCTTTTTTAAAAAGAATAAAGAAGTATATAATGGATATCAAAATCTTCAGAGATTTAGAAGTACAAGCATGCATGAATTTTTTTTTAAAGATTTATTTGTACATACAAGAACTGGGTACAGGCCAGAAGTACAGGGGATGATAGGATTCACCAGAGAGAGAGTGGGGAGCAGAACAGGCAGATTACCGAAACACTGCTGAGGGGCACAGCTGGTGGGTCAGGAGATGTCCGGTGCGCCATGTGGGTCACCTCCCTAGTGGGGCATCAAACTTTTGCTTCGGGGTTGTGGATAGCTTCACAGTGCTATGCTTTAACCTGTTGCGTCACCAGGGAGGGCCAGCATGAAGTTTTTATAATATATTTTCACTGAGTACAATATGCTTCACCATCTTGTCATCACTTCCTTGGCCCTTTTCCACAGCATGGGGTCTGTTTTCTATTGCACAGGTTTCCATGACCTGTTTGGCTTTCCACTCACACATTGATTCTTCCTGAAGGTAAAGAAAATCTACTGTATCCAATTCAGCAGAAAAAATGTCAGCCTTGGTTTTCACTACAAGACCTTACTTGGTCCTTACCACAGTAGGCTCCTATTTAAGAACAACCTATTACTCAGGAGCCATAGTAAAGTGTTGCATTTCACACATTTTGCCATTGACCTTCCTAGCCTGCCAATAATCAAACATCACCATAGCAGCCTGGTGCTGTAAAGCTCTTCTCACTCTTAAAATTTGGTACTCAGTTATGAATTAATCATCAAAACATGCCAGCATTCACAACAGTATCAGGGGTGAACATCCTTTTCCTACTTCCTTCTGTTTTCTCCACAATAGATTAGTTCATGCCTGACAGAAGAGGAAACTTACCTTGGCTTGCCCACATAATGAAAAGGGCATTAATGATTTAGAGAAATGCTTTCTTGCAATCTTTCCAAAGAGCACATTGGTGTGGTTTAAAGATGCCTTCTTAGTTTGAATTAAGATTTCCCTTAAAATGAAAGTAAACACTGCCAGGTATTTTTAAGTCCTTGTATCGAGGAGATTAGCTGTGTAACAATCTCCATTTGTGTCATAACTTCACAGTTTCAAAGCACTTTCATATCTATTACCTATGCCCACTACAACCATGTAAAGTAGGCAAAGCAGAAATTATTGGTCTCATTTAAAAATGATAAAACTGAGACTGAAGTAGTTAAGTGACATGGTTAGGATCACCAGCTTGTAAGCTTCAAAATCAGGCCTTGAACTGAAGTCTGACTCTAAGCCTAAGCCCAGTGATCTTGAACATGTACCATATTCTACCTTTTATGGTCTTTCAGTGGGGAAGCTCTGGCTCCATTGGAATAAGTAATTCAGAAGACCATCAGAATAATACCATTATCTTGGTTCTAAAATAAAGCACAGCCTTATTTGGTGGGAGATACATGGTTCCAGTATGGGAGGTATATTTACTTTTTCTTATCAAAGTAAAGGTATATTTGGTGTCTTTTTCATAAGCCAAAGATCAATTTCTTATCAAAGTAGCTACTCCTTTAAATTGATCTTTGGCTTATGAAAAAGATAGTAAATATACCTCCCACACCGGAACCATATATCTCCCACCAAGGCTGTGCTTTATTTTAGAACCAAGATAATGGTATTATTCTGTCATTTCTCTGAATTGTTTCTGGTGTCATTGCCTGAAATAATTTAGCTTGATTGTCTCCTGGGACAGTAATTTTGAATATCAGGCCATCACCCTCTTCTAAGAAAAATAAATATTCAGGACTTTATCAAGAGAAAATAAGGTAGATGTTTTTCGACAGAGAAAGGGGAGTTCTGTAAGAGTAATTGGTGGAGAGGAAAAGGGGAGACAGCTCAGTTACCCAGGGAGTAAACTGACATATTGTTCCTTCTTGCTCAGTGTTTTCTGTTGCCAGTTTATTTTTGTAACTATGCGAAGAACTTTATTAACCTTTGTTTCAAATATTATTCTCAGGCTCTTTCAGCTTAATTAGCTGCAGAGAAAGAATGAATTTTATATAAGCAAAAACTGAAAAGAGCTACAGTGTCCAAGGGGCACAGGCATAAACATATTATCAATCTAGATTTCATCAGATCCATGAATAAGATTTAACATAAACGTAACCATAATATAAAACAGCAGTTCCCAATAACTCTTCAAGTTTTATCTTCATCAAAATTGACTCAGTCCTGTGGCCTTCATCCTTGTAAGCCTCATCAGTATTCTGTACAAAATTTGAACTTCACCATCATCCTCCACTCCAGCAGCAGTGGTGCCTTTTTATCCACAGATTATTTGGACAGAGCTTCAACCAGTCTCCTTACACTGCTTTTGCACAAGCTGGCTTATGCTCAGTAGCATTCCTGTCAGCTGTTTTATGTCAGCATGGCCTCTAATGGTGAAAGTGTTGCCAGAGATGCCTGAACTTTATGTTGTTAAAGGGAATTACTCACTGTTCCTTGGTTTGGGAACATATTTAACTCCTCAATATCAGAAATTGGGAACATACTTACCTCCTCAGTATCAGAGATATTGTTTACACCTAACTTCTTTAGAACTGAAATTTTTTATCATCTGCTGTAGCTGTTCTGTGAAGTGCCTTCTTTCCTTGAGAGTGTTCCTTTCCCACAAGTGCAGTAGGGGGCTAGAGTTAGCACACAGAGGAGCTCAGGTAGACCAGATATATTTCCTATTGCCAATTTAAACATGAATGGTAAGTAAAGTAAATATGAGGTCTAAAAACTAACACACACACAAAGGTTATGAAAGTAAAAACCAGCCAAGCAAAAACCACTACCAAAAAATTGGGCACATAAAAGTTCCTGAAGGTTGACATCCTATGTAGATTCTTCTTGGGTCATTTAGCCCTCATGCAAATTTCACCCAGTCACCCCTCAACTATTTGACTGGCTTACTTCCCTTTATCTTCATTCTTTTAACACATACACTCTGAAAATTCCCAGTGTTTCCTTATATCAAAATGAATTAAAAACCTCAAAGAGAAGAAAATAATCTGTACTATCTGAATTTGCTAAGTGTTTTCAGGCCATAACTTTCTCCTCCCACCCCGAATAGATCCTTACTCTATTATGAAGATCCACGCCAGTCAGGTGTCACCTTTCATTTTACTACTCGAGAACATTTGGAAATATTTCGAAGTAGTTTATCCCACCAAAACAAAAGTCCTTTTCTCAACTGCTCACTCCAAAAATAAAAATGTCTGCTAAGGTCCTAGTCAGAAGACAAAATGCCTCATGCTCTGGATGTTATAGAATTTCAGAAAATTCATTCTTTTCTAGGGCTGCATGTAAAAAAAAAAAAAAGCTGGTGGAGGAAAACCTATATTATAAAAACACTGTCACGGATATAAAATAATGTACTTTAATAACAACCAAAAAAGCTTGTACAATATGGAAAATGAGATGTCCTGGCTAATTATAAAAATCTTTAGGCACCTACTTTTACAATTGCCTTTGAATCCTGCTTATTTTTACCATGTAAACAGCTATTTTACAAGATTCAATATACTGGCACATTCTACTTCAATTATCAATAAACAACTACCCAAAACTTTGCAGTAGCTTTAAAATTGGTCCTAGTTCATAGGTATAACATTTAGAAATTCTACCTGTTTTGACGTCCTACATGTATTTCAATACACATACATCCAAGAAAACATGAGGTGAAGTGTTCTAGGACAGCCTACGTTGAGGCAAGAGGTTGAACCATATGAGGCTCACTAGTATCACCTGTAGCCAATAATTTATTTTGTAAACCAAAGAAGAACAAATTTAAGATATATCATGCCAGTTATTATCTGAGTATACCCTTTTCACTATACCCATTTCTCATTGATACATTACTATATTTTACACTGAACATAGACTTAAGTAAGGAGCCATTTTAGGCTTTGTAGATGAAAGCCTAAGATGGTCTATAATGAAGTCTAGTTACCAACAGAAAGAACTGTTTTATTAAAAAATAGATTTGGAAAAATCTGTTTTGTAGAAATCTATTTTTAAAATTACAGCTACACATTTTATACAATGGAAAAAAGTACTAACATATATATAAAGAGAGATAAGACTTAGCCAGTACTTAGCTTACCACTTTAATCTTTTGTTTCTGTTTATTAATTTTCTAGGGGGAATTGCCCAGTGTTCGCTCTAAATTCCATGTCCTTTTTCTCCTCTTTGTGGCCTGCATGTTTTTTGTCAGCCTTGTGATTCTCTTTGGTTACCACTGTTGGCTTGTCAGCAGAAACAAAACCACCTTAGGTAAGACTTGATATTAAGAATATGAAAAAAACATCATTGTGTATGACAGTGACCATGGATTGTTCTCAACAGAAGAAAAAGAATTTCCAGTGAAGTGTTTTAGCTACAATGACATCCACCATTTCCTCCAAACTGTGACAAATATAAAAACATTTTACCAAAATAGAGTGCCATAGTGAATGGAAGCTTACAGATTAATGAGAGTATTAGTGAATGAAACCTCACACAAAACCAAAAATATCCATTGTTCTTGATAGTTCATATGGGGCTGTAGTTCCCCAGATTATTACTCAAAGGATTCCTAAAAGGTATTCACATAAGGAAGCAAAGGAAGTAACCATTACAGAAGGGAAGATCAGGAGACAAAGGTCAGCAATGAAGAACATCTAATTCACTGAGCACATTGTAAAACAAAGTCCATATATAGGGGAAAAAGAAGTCCTTATATAGGAGATCATATATAGGAGAAAACAAGGACTCTGTACAGGAAATCATATATAGGAGATGTGCTCAATGAACTAGATGCTCTTCTTTGCTGATCGTTGTCTCCTGATTTTCCCTTCTGTAATGGTTACTTTGTTTCCTTATGTGAATACTTTAAGTAATCCTTCCAGTTACAAATCTGGGGAACTACAGCCCCATATGAACTATCAAGAACAATGGTTATTTTTGGTTTTGCGTGAGGTTTCCATAATAAATTTTGGGAGGCAATTTGAGCTTAGAGAGAGACTTGAGATTAGAGTGCTTATGAAGAAGATAACATAGTAATAGCCTTCTACGAACAAACAAACTGGGTACTTGATAGTAAGGAGTCACTTTATGAGGGAAGAGGATGAGGGTATCATAGTTAGCTGAGAATATGTTCTCATTTAAAGAAGCATCCAGAAGGGTTTGATTAAATGCTGATGATTGAGGGGGAAAAAATAGTCCTGAGGAAAAAAAAACAAAACAAAAAAACAAAAGAAAGTTAAATATCTACAATCATCAAGGAGTTGTATAGGGACTATGTGAAAGATAAGCACAGTGAATTAGTGAGTGTCTAAAAAATGAGAACAAGAAATGAAGTTTTTTCTCTGTTACTCTATAGGCTGTTATTTAGAGAAATATATATTTCTAATGGATTCCAGTACAATTGCTCATCTATGTGAAATAAATGTTTAGATTTTTTACTAATCAGTGCATTATGAATGAAGAGAAAGTGTCTAAATGTTACTGTTTAGCTGAGATAGATTTGAGGAAAGGTTAGTTCAAAAGCTACTATAATTTTTGCAACCTATCTACTAGTAATGCTATCAGCTAAGATAATATTTTAATTTATTTTATAAACCATATAGATGTTATCACTTAGTTGCTAGGGTGATTGATTAGCATATTTGTTTTAGAGATCAGCTGCAAAGTAGAAAAATAATAAAAGCTTCATGATAACAGAGTCTGAAAACAAAGAACAAATGGGAAATGCCCATATAGAGCTAGCACACAACAGTGAAAGTGGCTTAATGGGATAAATGTGTATTTAACAATATGCACTAACATGCTCTAATTCCTCATAATCTTTGAGGTGATTATACTTCACCCATTGACATTTTATCTGGAATAAAACTCAGTTTCTTATTTTATAGGTTTCGTTGTGAACACCTTCTTTCCTGAAATGTTTCTAAACCAAATCCATGTTGTTATCATCTCTTTGTGTCATTACTTTGGTCCCTGCTCTAACAGTGGAGATCATTTGGCTGTTGTTGCCACTTAGATTCCAGTAAGGTGTATTAAATTTGTTTTCTCACTCCTTACATTCAGCAATATAAAAATATATTACATCCATGACTACTCAATTATATTTAAGGTAATCTTTCTTCTACCTTTTTTTGAAATGGTTCCCATTCTCTTTATTTAATAAGGTTACTTTGCATGAAATATTAAACTGGTTTTTATTAAATAATTCACAATAACTAAGAGAGACTTATGCTGCCACAGCAAATAGTTATCATAGAACCAAGTCACATTCATAGAGAACTGTAGAATTATGATAGTCCTGCCATTTGATCTTTTATTGCTTTCTTCATCTTTTCTTTATCTCTGCTATCCTTAGAGGCCTTCTGTACTCCAGTGTTTACAAGTGGCCCAGAGAAAAATGGGTTCAATCTTGGCTTCATCAAAAATATCCAACAAGTGTTTGGAGATAAAAAGAAGTTCTGGTTAATACCTATTGGTTCCAGGTAGGTACTTATTACTACTTAGAGGTGTTGATGCTGGACTGTGCTTTAAAGTTGCAAGTTGAATTATGACCATAATGTGGAGCAGGTAAATCCAGATTGTTTTCCATAATGGTTGTGCCAGTTTACATTCCCATCAACAGTGTAACAGACTTTATTCTCCATGTCCTCTCTGACACTTTTTGTCGGAAATATATATTTTTTTAATATTTATTTGTGCATACAGAACGGGGTACAGGCCAGAGGCTCAGGGGCAGCGAGAGGCTTCACTAGAGACAGAGTGGGTAGTAGAACAGGCAGATCAATGAAGTACACTGCTGAGGGGAGCAGCGGGCGGGTCAGGAGAGGTCTCGGGAATCGAACTCATGCAGAAGTGGCTTTAGCTTCTCAGTGCTGTGCTTTAACCCGCTGCGCCACCAGGGAGGGCCCTTGTCAGAAATATTTTTAACATGCAGCATTCTAATGGGTCTCAGATGGTATCTCATTATAGTTTTATTCTGCTGCTGCATTACAGTTGACAGTGAAGATTTTCTTATATCTTTTGCCCTTTTGGATATCTTCTGTAGTGATTTGTCTGTCATAACTGTTTCCCACTAGTTAGTTGGGTTATTTGCTTTTTTTGTTGAACTGTATATCTTTTATATATCAGTATTTTATATATTAATACCTTATTAGTTATATATTGAGTAAATATTTTTTTTCCATTCAATAGGGTCTGTTAAGTCATCCTGAATTTTCTTTGCTATATAGCAGCTTCTTAACTTGAGAAAATCACAGTTGTTCATTTTTGTTTTTAATTCCTTTGTCATTGGGGTTGAGTCACCAAAAACATCTATCAATAATATCATGGAACATACCACAAATGTTTTCTTCTATATTTTATGTATTGGTTCACTTTTGTATGTGTGGCTTTCCTCATTTTGTTGTCATAATTGCTTTATAGGTGCTAGTATATTTGCAGATTTATTTCTGGACTTTTGTTTATGTTCCATTGAATTACATATCTATTTTTGTGCCAATGTATTGTTTAGGATACTATTGTTTTATAGTAAACTTTAATAATATCACTAGTATTTTTATTGGGATTGCATTAATTTGTATATCATTTCAGGCAGGATGGTCACTTTTATTACACTGATTTTCCCATCCATGTATATGGGATTTTCTTACGTTGCTATCTAAATCTAGTAACATTTTGCAGTTCTCATTGTGTGTCTTTTACCTCCTTTGTTAGGTTTATTCTGAGGTATTTAATTCTTTTTGAAGCAATTATCAACAGAAATATTTTCTTGATTTCTTTTGATTCTTAGTTGCTGTTTGTATATTAAACAGGTATGGATTTTTGTATATTAATTTTGTAATCTGCCACTTTTTCTATATATAGGGCCCTCCCTAGTGGCGCAGCACTTTGTAGTGCCGTGTTAAAGCACGGCACTACAAAGCTAGCCACATTGCTTTAGCATGAGTTCAATCCCTGGCAAGGGTGGTGACCCACATGGGCTGGCAGACGTCTCCTGCCTCGCCTACTGCTCCCCTCAATATTGTACTTTGTCAGTCAGCGGCCTGTTCTGCTCCCTGCTCTGTCTCTGGTGAATCCTCTCACCTCCCCTTCACCTCTGGCCTTTACCCCAGTTCTGTTTGCATAAGTAAATAAATCTAAAGAAAAAAGAATTTTGTATATATAATGTCATATCGTTATTGAGTAGTGACAGTGTCACTTCTTTCCCCAGTTGGATTCCCATTATTTCCTGATTTTGTCTGATAGCTCTGCCAAAAGCCCTAATACTAAATTAAACAAAGGTGGTGACAATAGGCATCCTGGTCTTGTTCCCAATCTTAAGAGGAAAGCTTTCAGTTTCTTAGCATTCAGTACTCTTAGTTTGATATTGAGGTAGATTCCTTCTATGGCAATCATATTTGGAGTTTTATCATATATGGGCTGTAAATATTTTCAAATGCTTTCTTTCCATCTATTAATATCATCATATAGCTTTTATCTTTTGTTGATATGCTATATTACACTAATTGAGTAAAAAACCTTTACATCCCTGGGATGAATCTTTTCTTGATCATGGTGTATGATCTTTGTGTTACACTGTTGAATTCAATTTGCTAGTTTTTTGTTGAAGATTTTTGCATCAATAGTCATCAGAGATATTGGTCTATAATTTTCTCTTCTGGTGTGGTCTTTATCTGGTTTTAGCATTAGGGTAATGTTGATATCATAAATGTACTAGGGAGTATTACATCTTGTATTTTAAAAAAACAATTTGTGCAAGGTAGGCTCCTTTAGAAGTGGTTCTTTAAAAGTTTCATAAAATTCATTTGTAATGCATCTTGTCCTAAGCTCTTGTTTGGGGGAAGATTTTTTATTATGGTTTCAATTTCCATGTTTCTGATCACTTTGTTCAGTTGATTTGTTTCTTTCTAGAGTAGTCTTAGTAGAGTATATCAATCTAGAAATATATCTATTTCTTCAAGGTTATTTAATTTATTGCCATATAGTTGCTTATAGTAATCTCTTATGATCTCTTGCTATTTTGTATTTCTGTGCTATCCATGGCGATTTTTCTTCATTAATTTGTGAGTCTATTCATTAATGATTTAGCTTTTTTTGTTGTTGTTGTTGTTAGCCTAGCTAGAGGTTTATCTATTTTGTTTGTCTTCTCAGAGAACCATCTTTAGTTACAGCCATTTTTTGGTGTAGACTTTGATTTCGATTTCATTTATTTCAGCTCCTATTTTTATTACTACCTTCTACTAACTTTGGATTTTGTTTTTCCCCTTTTTTCATGGTGCTTTAATTGTGATATTAGATTATTTGGGATTTTACTTGCTTTTTTAAAAGATTTTTTAAAGAAAGATTTATTTATTTATGCATACAGAACTGGAGTACAGGCCAATGGTGTGGGGGCTGTGAGAGGATTCATCAGAGACAGTGGGGAGCAGAGCAGGCAGATTGACAAAGTATACTGCTGAGGGGTGACAGGAGAGGTCTACTATGCCATGTGGATCACCCCCGGGGTGGGGATCGAATTCATATTAAAGTAGCCACAGCTTGGCTTTGCAGTGCAGCGCCAACTCACTGTGCTACCAGGGAGGGCCCTTTACTTGCTTCATAATGTGAGCCAGTGTTGCAGTTATCTTTCTCCTTAAGACTGCTGTGTCTCGGCCCTCCCTGGTGGCGCAGTGGGTTAAAGCACAGCACTGAGAATCTAAAGCCGCTTCCGCATGAGTTCGATCCCCGCCTGCCCCGGAGGTGACCACATGGCGTGGCAGACCTCTCCTGGCCCACCCGCTGCTCCCCTCAGCAATGTACTTCGTCGAACTGCATGTTCTGCTCCCCACTCTGTCTCTGGTGAATCCTCTCACCCTCCGCAACTCTGGCCTGTACCCCGGTTCTGTATAAATAAATAAATCTTTAAAAAAAAAAAAAGACTGCTGTATCTCATAGATTCTGGTGGCTTGTATCATCTTAAGACATTTTAAAAATTTCTGTTTTGATTTTCTCTCATCCAGTTGCTGTTAAATGCTGCATGTTGTTTAGTCTCCATGTGTTCATAGATTTTTTTTTCTGATAAGTTCATTTCTAATTTTGTGGTATTATGGTCACAGATTACTAGATAAAATTTTGATCTTTGCAGTTTTATTGACAGTAGACTTTTGTTCCAAGATACAGTCTATTCTTGAGAATGTTCCATTTACACTTGAAAAAAGTGTGCATGCTCTGATATTGGGGTGTTTGTTCTCCAGATGTCCTTTAGAACTATTTGACCTAACTTCTCATTTAATGTTATTGTTTCCTTATGTATTTTTTTGTCTTGCCGATCTGTCTATTGTGCTAAGTGGTGTATTAAATTCCTCTAGTATTATGTGTTGTTATTAATATCTCTTTTTATTTCTGTGATTATCTAATGTATCTTGGTTACTTAAAATTTGGGGCTTATATATTTGTGAGTGTTGTATCTTCTTATAGTATTAATCCCTTAATCATAATATAGTGTCCTCCATCTCTTACTACCATTCTTAATTATAAGTCTGCTTTTTCAGATTAAAGTGTAGTTGTTCCTCATTTTTTTTTAGTTGCTCTTTGCTTATATAACTGCCTTCAGACTTTAAGTCAATATTTGTCTTTTTTGGCAAGGTGAATTATTGTAAACATGAGATTGGCCATGTTTTGAAATCCATTAAGTCACTCTACGTCTTTTGGCTGGTGAGCTCAGGTCATAAACGTTTAAAGTGATTGTTGAGAAGTGCTTGTTGCCATTTTGTATTTTCTTGTTTTGGTTTGTCTTTTTTATTTTTATTTTTTGAGGGTTTCCTATTTTGTTTAAGGCCTAATTTCATTGTCTTATGTGTCACTTCTATTATTTTCTGTTTGAGGTTAGTATATGACAGGCTATTTGTGTGACCCATTGGTCACTCTGGACTCTGAAGATTCTGATGGGCCACATTGCGACTTTCGTCTTCCATGTTAAGTGTCTTAGGTATCTGTTGCCTTGATATTTGCTCTTCTGTTGCTTCATGATAATCCCTTTTGGATTTACTTCGTGTGCAACTTGGTTCTTTTAAATTGAGAAAATGATTTTTTTTAGTTTTTGTTTTTCATGAAGCTCCTTACTCTTCCTTCTGTCTTGAATGTTAATCTTGCTGGGTAAAGGATTCTGGACTGGAAGTCTTTTTTCTTTAAGTGCTTTAAATAACTCCTTCCAGCTCTTTCATTCCTTAATGTTTTTACTAAAAAGTGAACTGATAGTTGATAGTTTGATTGATGTTCCTTATAGGTTTCCTTGATTATTTTTATATTATCTCCTTATTGTTGATTCTCAGCAGCTTTGTTTTAAGCTACAGACTAGTCTGTAGCTTTCTGGTTTCAATTTATTTGGATCTCTTAGATCACAATGTTTGGTTTATTTCCTAAATTGAGATGGTTTTCAGTATTTTTTTTCAATAATTATTTCTTTAATTGACTTCTCTATGCATGTCTCTTCATCTTCTAAGACTCCCATGATACAGATGTTATTTATTTTAAAGTTGTCACAGAGGACTCATACTATTTCCATTTTTTAAAAATTCTTTTTTCTCTACATAGTCCAATTGATGTGCTCCAACATTGTGTTTTTGAGCTGATTAATTCTCTCCATTGCTTGTTTGTCAGTTATCGATTGATGTGATCCACATCCATTTCCTCTTCTTCTAGCTTCTCGGTTCTTATTTCTTTCTTTTTTTTTTTTTTTAAGATTTATTTATTCGTGCATACAGAATGGGGTACAGGTCAGAGGTTCAGGGGCGGTGAGAGGCTTCACCAGACACAAAGTGGGGGACAGAACAGGCAGATCGAGGAAGTACACTGCTGAGGGGAGCAGCAGGAGGGTCAGGAGCTGTCTGCCGCGCCATGTGGTCACCTCCGGGGCAGGCGGGAATCGAACTCATGCGGAAGCGGCTTTAGATTCTCAGTGCTGTGCTTTAACCTGCTGCGCCACCAGGGAGGGCCTCTTATTTCTTATATAATCTTTTGTGCACGTTTACTGTAGTCTATTTGTAAGCGCTAGATGCAGTGTTGGGTATGGATTATAGCCGATATGGGGATACAGGTCAGGAATTGCTCTTTCTTTAGCAGCTTATTCTTATCTGGTGTGTTTGCTCCCATTATTGGTAGGTATCTAATTTGTTTAAGTTTTTTGTTTGTTTGTTTGTTTGTTTTGGTTTTAGCCCTGAGGTGTGGAATGGCAGGTCTTTTTTATATCTCAGCCAGGGATTTTAGTAATAGCCTGTTCTCTGTGGAGACCCAGGTGCTCTAACCTGCTTCTTCTCACCGATTCATACTTTGGATGTTCTGTGTTGAGAGATTAGTGCTTCACCCAGTAATCATGAACAATGCACTCTGCAACAATACACCCTCTGTTGTAGGTGCTTGCTTCATCACCCCCTTATTCAGTGCAGTGTTGGGTCTTCAGATCCCCAATGTTGGTATGTGCCTAAGTTAATAGGTATGCAGGGCAATACACAGAGCACTCTCATCTTCCTCTTATGGAAAATACTGCACCATTATCATCATTACCTAAATAAAGTTCACTTAATATTTTTTCCATCCCTTTTTACTGTGCTGATGCTCCTCATGTGTGTTGTGATTTACAATTTAGTTCTATCTGGAAGAGACAAGTCTACTGCCTTTGTTTTTTTGTCATCTTGCTAAAACTCTCAATAATTTTTTTATTATAATAGTTTATTTTTATATCATTTTGTGTCTTTCTACATCTCAGCTGTAATCCCCATGGACTTCCCATCACCAGTTCACCCATGTGCCATCACCATAATCCAGTGCACTTCTCCTCTAACCCCATTTTTGATCCCATTCCCCACCCCACCCCTGTAAAATGTCTCTGGTATATAGTTGTTCATTATTATTATATTTTCCCCTAGTCCTTTATGCTCCTGCATAAAATACCATCTGGTATTTTTCTTTTTCTTTCTGGTTTATTTCATTAAGCATGACCCCTTCCAGCTCCATCCATGTTGCTGCAAAAGGCATGAGTTTATCTTTTTTGATTGCTGAATAATATTTCATTGTATATATGTACCACATCTTTTTAATCCAGTCATCTACCTTTGGGCATTTGGGTTAATTCCATGTCTTTCCTATTTTAAATAAAGTAGCAATAAACACGGAGGGTGCAGGTATCTTTTTGAATCACTGTTTTTGTGTCTTTTGGTTAGATACCTAGGAGTGGGATTGCTGGGTCATATGGAAGCTCCATTTTTAGCAGTTTGAGGAACTCCAAACAGTTTTCCATAGTGGTTGTACTAGTTTGTAGTCCCACCAGCAGGAGAAGAACTCTCAATAAAATTTTTATTCTAAAAAATGATTAACAATCCAAAAGTCACTCAGACATAAATTTGGAATGCATTCAGGTATATAAGACAAATGTTTGAATAATACCCCACTGCAGCAGTGGGCCACCTCAGTTAACTCTAATCCATCTGTTAGTACCCACACATTAACCTAGGCAGTGGTCCTAGTTAGTCAGTTATATACAAAGTAAATCCCACATGCATATAATTGCTTCAAGGATCTGTATCCTGGAAATGTCTCATTTTGGGCCCATTAGCCCAACTCCTAATAACCTTTCTGCCATATATGCCCAATAGCAGGACCTTCAGACACTTTTATCTGTCACAAATTCACAGCAACTTATCTCCATGGTATTCAATGATTTTGAATGCTAATTTTTCTTGAAAATTTAGAATCAAAGCAGTAAAACTATATGATATAAATTGGGAACATCATCATCAACTAATATTTATAAAGTTTGCTACATGTGCATATTGCCATACTGGACATTGTGGGAAACAAATTAGAGTTGCATATAAGCAAAAACAGCCAGCACTGATGCATACAAACAATATGTAGAGATTGAGAATAATACAGCTATTAACTGATGTTATACTAAATGCCTGTTCAACCATGTCTTTAAACTATAAGATAGTTTAAATCTTCCTAAGAACTCTCCTCCTATTTCTGAGAAGCTTATTATCTCTATAAAATGCTGCAAGAGCTCACTGCCTGCCTTTCCCCACCAGCCCTGGTGATGGACACTCCTTCCCTATGAGGTCTATGAATGAGTCACAGAACCCACTATTAGCAAATGAAGAGCCCTGGGAAGACAATGAGGATGAGAATCGAGGTAAGTAGTCTCAGAAGGAAGTCTTTTCTCCACTAAGCAGACCAAGCCTTATAAAGATCACGATAAAAGAAACAATGTGGTATAATGAAACAGTAGTTTCCAGAAAGATTATATGAGCATGCCAAGCCCTTTGAATGGAGAAGGGTAAGTATAGCCAGACATCTTTAATAAATATGAATGTTAATTTGGATTAGATGGTAGCTCGAAATGTTTCTTAAACACTTTGTGCTACCATGATTTGTAATTGATCAGGTAAGTCAGAAAACATAAGCATGCTGTGAGAAAACATAAGCATGCTGTGATTCTTGTAAATAGTCCTATCATTTGGTCACTTGTGGTTCTTTGCTTGAGTTAATTCAGTCATTGTGCAGTAGCTTGCATTTCCCTGCTCTCATTCATTCACACTGATTCTGTTTTAAAATCTCATTCCCATTCAGTTTTAGAATGGTTTGAATACTTGAGGAAAAAGAAAGTGTCTGGAATCAAGCATATAATGCAATAGTCTAAAATAGAGGATCAAATGAAAAACAAGGTAGCAGCACTTAAGTCTAACTTCTTTCTCCCACCAAATTATTGGGAGAGAATTTTTTTTTTTTAAGATTTATTTATTTACTCATACAGAACTGGGATACAGGCCAGAGATGCGAAGGGTGAGAGGATTCACCA